ATCTCAATTTAAAAATTAAGAAAGATATAATGAGATTTTTGAAGCACCTCTCTCCACTTTATTTAACTTTAATCCTTAAAAATTTGGCGAAGAGAATTATATCTAGAAGAGTTAGCTGGGTCTTTTACGATCTATTATTTTACAGTATGTAAGGAGTCTTATAGTTACTGACTAGTATATGATCAAAGTCTCTTTCACTACAGTTTGACTTTTAAATTTACTCTATCTTATCCTTTTTGAGGTTAACGAGGCAAAAATTGTTATTCAATCATCAAATAAAAGCACTTCTTTTATATAATTTCTTAGATGGGCCTTTATTTTCTGTTATTCTTTACAACTTCCGTGCAAAGAAGTTCTTATAATGGGCTATTAAATTTAAAATAATTTTAAATAGAAGAATTAATTTTTTATTTTCTCTTCTTAATAATTTTTTCACCAAAAACAAGCAAAAATGCACTTCTATTCGCTCTATTTAATCTTATTATATATTATAAGAAGAATACATTCAATTTATTGGAGATAAACTTGAGACATTTAATCTTTAAGTAAAATTAGTGATCATGTAACTCTAATTAATTATCAAGGATTAATCCATTCTAAATCATGAATGACGAGGTTTCCCATTATTTATTTTATTTTCTCTCTTCCAAAATTAGTTTAAACCATCTTTACCTAAAGAAGGTCAAGCATCGTCATGTACCTTTCCAAGTGATAAATTTTTTTCTTGACCAGCTTACTAGAGATTGCTTTTTAAGGGCTCGGCCTATTAATGGAAAGCTTTAAATAGGGGAGATTGGAATGAAATTATCAGTATTACAATACTCATCAGTTAACAATATTACTTAAGATTTTTCAAATAGAGTATTGAAAGGATGATACTTTTAGGATCTAGAGGAGAATTGGATAAGTAAGAATAATTTACAACAATTTATAAAAAAGGATTTATAGTCATTATTAAAGGGAAGATAAGATATGAATCATCAAGGTGAAAAGATTATCACTCTTATTAATAGTAGGTCAATATAATAACTATTCTGATGCTAAATATTTAACATTAAGAACAAGCAAGCAAAATTATTCGTGTTGAAAATCATTCATTTTAAAATATTGATATTGCTGCAATATGAATGCCTTAGAGGTGGAATCATTTTATTGTGATAATAATGATAACTCTTAGATATCCCTAAATAATACGTAAATTAACTCTATCAATTGATAAAGTCTCTTCAAATCAAAGAAATTTAGATTTTGCTACTTTCTCATTCAAATTATGTTATATCTTTATTAGAAAGATTATAGCATATGTTAGCTTTCCATCTACAATTTTATCCATAAAAAAGATTTGATTGATTCTTATTAAATTCTAATCAAATCAAGTATAAAATGTTTAGTTTATGGTAGCAAAAAAAATAAAAAAAAAGAGCATGCTTAACCTGTTGTGCAATAAATCTACAGTCTTCATTACTAATAGATATTTAAGGTTTTAAAAACTGCTTTTTAATTTGATAATATACTAAATTTACAAATTTAGATTATAAATTAATAAAGGTTTATGCTTCTTATTACTTATTAATAATATTTAATATTAATTCTAACTCTTAAATCAATTGAGTATATTTGCATAAAGTTGTGATTCTTCTGCATAGTTATCTTCACACGATCCTTAGTTTTTTTCACAATTTGAAGTTACCTTTAACTTCTTAGAATTCTCACACAAAGAAAAACCATAGTTACATTACACCCTACTTGTGGGAGTAAGAATCCGTCAAATTTTAACTTCTATAATATACAATTCGAATCCTGCAAAAACTGGGTCCACTATAACTATCCCCTCTTCACCTTATACACTATCTCCTTTATTTACACCATAATCCTCTCAGCTTCTTGTGAAAGTCATCCTTCATTTGTTTATCGGCATTTTAATCATTAATACTATAAATGGATATATCCATTATTTTTTTGAAAATTTAATTGCCTATATGCAAAGGGGGCCCATTAAAATCCACACTATCATCCACTTATACAACTTCTTAAATCCAGCCAAAATTAGATAAATTTCACTTGTGTATCTCTATAAGTATCTACTGTCCACCTTTCTATTTATCCCCTTCCATTAGATATTAAGGAATGGGCCTTTATGTGAATTTTTTGCTATCCTCAGAAAGAAGGTTTTGTTAATCTCTTGCTTTATGCTTCGAAATTATATGGATTTCCATAATAATGATCATATATATATATGGCGAATAACCTTAGAATTATTTCTGGAAGTTTTGGTAACGAGATATCTTACTTTTTAGTTTAGTAAGTTCTGTTGCATTAAGAGATTAGGCTGATTGAAAATATCTCTTATTATATACTGCCATCAAATAGTTACACAGAAATAATGATAATTAAATTGGGTGCATTCTATAATATACATCCACTTCTTACATTAATTAGTATAAATTATCAACGAATTTTTTTAACAAAATAAAAGATTTAATATTAGCGTAAATCCATTTTTTTTTCCTTATTTAAGATCTTCTGATTTGAATTTAAAAGATAGTTTATGAACAAGATTTTTGAAATTGAAATTTTAGTAAGTTTGAAATCTGATTAAGAATATGATTCAACAATGTATATTGCATTAACAATATTTTTCATATTAAATAATCTTGTTTGATCACAATTTAATTCTAATTGTTCTGGATTAGTATTATTAGAAAAATCTCAAACTTTATCAGATTATTCTAAATTGATTATCGAAATTTTATAAATAGAGACGATCGTGTAGTAAGCAAATAACTTTATTGAATTTTTCTAAATAAATAATAAATATCTATACAGTTCAACATTCTTTATTTTAGTCCAAATAATAAATAAACTATTCAAACTTCTCACAAAATATTGTATGATTATACTATTAAATGTTATTCAAATTTTAAGTGTTAATTATCTATCAACCTTCTGAAAGATTTTCAAACAATATAAGAGTGTCAAAATTGATAAAATTCAAATTTAGAATTTCCTATCAATTTTTTAATTTTATGCAAAGTCACAGCGATTTAATTTAATCCTAGTTTTTATATTCCTAAATTCATAATACTAGTTTCGAAAAAATGAGGACTTATTGAAATTAACTGCTGAAATTGATGATCTATTCTTTTCATTTTTATTGAGATACGATGTTCATCAATTATTTTTACATACTAAATAAAACTCTATTATTATACACATTGATTTAAAGTGGGTATTTTATAATAAATAAAAAAAATATCGAATATGTATTTCTTAATCATAATTTTTGGATTTCACATTTTTCGATTAAACTCAGAGGCAATAAATTGCTAGGTTCGAAAAGCCTAGCCAATAATATCCTGCCAAGAATACTTTTCAGGTTGCTTTATATTGGAAGGAAATGAGGAGGATTACTACAAATTGAAAAGTGTTGATAAAGAAATTATATAAAAGTCATTTATTATTCCTTACAAAGACATGCCAATCTAAATCAAAGTATTCAAATTTTTGGACTATGTTAAAATATAAGAAAAACTTATATGTTCATTATTTCTGAATTCTTTGAAATATTATATAACATGTATCAGCTTTGATACATTAGATTTCGAGAAAAATTATGGGAATATACAAGAGAAGCTTAAAATAGAGACAAGTATTTCTTAAGAAGAAATCTGTGATGAAATTCATTAATTGAATGAGAGCTTTTATTTAATTTGTTTGAGCAAATTTCAATTAAAATTATATTCCGTAAGTTTAAAAGGTGATACAATACTTATTAATGAACTTAATGTGTCTATTTAAATCTAAGATTAGTGCAAGATGAAATAATAAAAGATATTAAAAAACAATTATTTTATAATTGCTTTTTTCTAATGCTCATAATGGATTATTGTTGAGATTAATGGTAAGGAGATGAAAATTATTTTACAATCTAAAATGGATGAAATTATTCCCTCCCTTTTAGCATTTTCTAAAGTTGATGAAGTATGTATTTGCGATTCAAAAATCAAGTTTCTAATTATTATAGAAGGAAATAATTACCTTCAAGTTAGATGGAGCAAAAATGGAGTTCTTCCTTAATTATTTAAGAGCGAAAAACGAATCTTAAAAATGATAATGAATAATAATTGCAATAGTATTATGCTAGTCACACATGTAAAAGAAAATAATTCTTAACTAATTTAATATTTCGATAATGAAATTGTATTAAATTACTCTTTTCAAGGAGAACAACTATATTTTTCTTCCTAAATTTTCTTTATATAAAATTAAACAGAATTCATAATTATTATTGATCAACATATAACTCAAAAACATTAAATTCTTAATTCATCATTGGTTTTGCTAAAAGAAGATAATTTATTTTATTAGATAGACAAACTTAATAATTTGTTATAATTCTATAGATATTTTCCATTTAGTAGTATTATTGAACCCAAATAAGGATTTCTATATCTTATTTAGAACTTCAAAAACACACGTAAAATATCATTAATAAGATGTCTAAAAATGTAATATGAAAATACTTTGGAGGAGAAAAATACAGTAAAATAATAAACATTAATTCTCAAAAACTNATACGATGTTCATCAATTATTTTTACATACTAAATAAAACTCTATTATTATACACATTGATTTAAAGTGGGTATTTTATAATAAATAAAAAAAATATCGAATATGTATTTCTTAATCATAATTTTTGGATTTCACATTTTTCGATTAAACTCAGAGGCAATAAATTGCTAGGTTCGAAAAGCCTAGCCAATAATATCCTGCCAAGAATACTTTTCAGGTTGCTTTATATTGGAAGGAAATGAGGAGGATTACTACAAATTGAAAAGTGTTGATAAAGAAATTATATAAAAGTCATTTATTATTCCTTACAAAGACATGCCAATCTAAATCAAAGTATTCAAATTTTTGGACTATGTTAAAATATAAGAAAAACTTATATGTTCATTATTTCTGAATTCTTTGAAATATTATATAACATGTATCAGCTTTGATACATTAGATTTCGAGAAAAATTATGGGAATATATAAGAGAAGCTTAAAATAGAGACAAGTATTTCTTAAGAAGAAATCTGTGATGAAATTCATTAATTGAATGAGAGCTTTTATTTAATTTGTTTGAGCAAATTTCAATTAAAATTATATTCCGTAAGTTTAAAAGGTGATACAATACTTATTAATGACCTTGATGTGTCTATTTAAATCTTAGATTAGTGCAAGATGAAATAATAAAAGATATTAAAAAAAAATTATTTTATAATTGCTTTTTTCTAATGCTCATAATGGATTATTGTTGAGATTAATGGTAAGGAGATGAAAATTATTTTACAATCTAAAATGGATGAAATTATTCCCTCCCTTTTAGCATTTTCTAAAGTTGATGAAGTATGTATTTGCGATTCAAAAATCAAGTTTCTAATTATTATAGAAGGAAATAATTACCTTCAAGTTAGATGGAGCAAAAATGGAGTTCTTTCTTAATTATTTCAGAGCGAAAAAAGAATCTTAAAAATGATAATGAATAATAATTGCAATAGTATTATGCTAGTCACACATGTAAAAGAAAATAATTCTTAACTAATTTAATATTTCGATAATGAAATTGTATTAAATTACTCTTTTCAAGGAGAACAATTATATTTTTCTTCCTAAATTTTCTTTATATAAAATTAAACAGAATTCATAATTAGTATTGATCAACATATAACTCAAAAACACTAAATTCTTAATTCATCATTGGTTTTGCTAAAAGAAGATAATTTATTTTATTAGATAGACAAACTTAATAATTTGTTATAATTCTATAGATATTTTCCATTTAGTAGTATTATTGAACCCAAATAAGGATTTCTATATATTATTTAGAACTTCATAAACACACGTAAAATATCATTAAAAAGATGTCTAAAAATCTAATATGAAAATAATTTGGAGGAGAAAAATACAGTAAAATAATATACATTAATTCTCAAAAATTGCTAAGAGAAACAGAAAATTAAGTTTAGTATTGAAGGCTTTTAATCATATTTCTAACAAAACTTTTCTTTTTTTGATAATCAGAATAATTTAATTAACCTTAGTATAAGGAATGAAGAAAAAGTAGAAAACCTGTGCTATGAACAATTAAAAAGATATAAGTTTAAAAGCAAGATTTAGTTAATATCTATAAAATCTTTGCACTTTATAGTTTTTCAAGTTGAGAATACAATATATTTCCAAAATTGCTAAACTAAAAAGATATATTTGAGCTTAAATAAGAATCAATATGAAGTATTTGAAAGTACGGAACACTATTATTTAATTGATAAAATTAATAAATAAATAAAAGTGATTTATTCTTTTTAATAGAAAATGAATTCCATTAATATAAACGAGAATTTTGAAATACTTAAGGTTTAAAAAGTAGACTAATAACTAATGATTTATTTAAAAAATGAAAAATATCCTTTTTTGCTCTCAAAATCGCATTTTTTATTAAATAATAAGAAGTATCTTTCAGCAAATCTTTATTAGCCAGAAGAAATTCTTTATTATCTAGAGTTTGGGAATTATAAAATAATTTAATATCCAAATTTGCTTGCATTTGAATACAATGATGAGGTAACGTGCTTTCATATTTCTGATTTAATATTCATTTCTTGCAGGAATTTGCTAAAATATGCATTTACAATTTGGGCGGTACAAAGCCATACTAATTCAATACTTCTTTATAATTTTGATTTATATTCTTTACATTAAATCTATAATTATACTTTTAAAGAACACTAAATTTACAATCCACTAGAGTACTTATATATGTCTTCACATTTAGCCATTTTAATTAAACAAAATTAATCTTTATTTATAGCAATAATTGGATTTAAAGATCTAAAAATCGAGTTGATTGATATTAAAAGCACTGAAGGAATCTATTTCGAAATTATGGATAATACATTAGTATATTTTAACAATGGCTATTTAATGCAATATAATTTGCTCGATATAACTGCAATTATAGAAACTAATATATCGTCCTCGCATCCCTTGGTTTCCTCATATTAATTCTAATTGATGTCATCTTAATATAATCATGATAAAATCCCCTTTGAAGTTATTATTTAAAACAGGTGTTATAATGTAATTTCTATTAAGAATTCAACATCTGTTAAACTCAAAAAAAATTAAATTTTGCCTATTCAAATTTCAGAATATTTTTCAGGTCCAATAAATAACTTAACAATTTAAGGATATCCCACAATTAAATTGAGAAATCCTTTTTACTATGCAAAAGAAATCACAAATTGTCGATAAGAAGCATTCTTGTGTATTAAACATTATCAATTGAATAAATTTAATGAAAATGAAGCATAGAAAACGAAATATCAAGTATCAGCAATAATCTTAGAAGATAAAACTCTATTTCAAATCCAAAAATCAAATGTTTAAGATAATGCCAATCAAATATTTTTGATATAGGATAATTTGTTTCTCTGGTTTTCACTATTAGAAGATAATCTAAAAATACAATTATTGTAATGTAAAATGAAAGATGATGAAAGTTGTATAGAACTCTTTACAAAAGTCATAAACTTTAAAACTGAAAGAAATTTGAATTAAATAATTTTCAAAACAAATAATTTATTTAAAGTGCAAGAAGATTAGAAGAATTAGATTCATATTTTTATCAAAAATTAGAATTTTAGTATAATTAATCTACCAGATTTTACTTTTGACATTANGCATTTTTTATTAAATAATAAGAAGTATCTTTCAGCAAATCTTTATTAGCCAGAAGAAATTCTTTATTATCTAGAGTTTGGGAATTATAAAATAATTTAATATCCAAATTTGCTTGCATTTGAATACAATGATGAGGTAACGTGCTTTCATATTTCTGATTTAATATTCATTTCTTGCAGGAATTTGCTAAAATATGCATTTACAATTTGGGCGGTACAAAGCCATACTAATTCAATACTTCTTTATAATTTTGATTTATATTCTTTACATTAAATCTATAATTATACTTTTAAAGAACACTAAATTTACAATCCACTAGAGTACTTATATATGTCTTCACATTTAGCCATTTTAATTAAACAAAATTAATCTTTATTTATAGCAATAATTGGATTTAAAGATCTAAAAATCGAGTTGATTGATATTAAAAGCACTGAAGGAATCTATTTCGAAATTATGGATAATACATTAGTATATTTTAACAATGGCTATTTAATGCAATATAATTTGCTCGATATAACTGCAATTATAGAAACTAATATATCGTCCTCGCATCCCTTGGTTTCCTCATATTAATTCTAATTGATGTCATCTTAATATAATCATGATAAAATCCCCTTTGAAGTTATTATTTAAAACAGGTGTTATAATGTAATTTCTATTAAGAATTCAACATCTGTTAAACTCAAAAAAAATTAAATTTTGCCTATTCAAATTTCAGAATATTTTTCAGGTCCAATAAATAACTTAACAATTTAAGGATATCCCACAATTAAATTGAGAAATCCTTTTTACTATGCAAAAGAAATCACAAATTGTCGATAAGAAGCATTCTTGTGTATTAAAGATTATCAATTGAATAAATTTAATGAAAATGAAGCATAGAAAACGAAATATCAAGTATCAGCAATAATCTTAGAAGATAAAACTCTATTTCAAATCCAAAAATCAAATGTTTAAGATAATGCCAATCAAATATTTTTGATATAGGATAATTTGTTTCTCTGGTTTTCACTATTAGAAGATAATCTAAAAATACAATTATTGTAATGTAAAATGAAAGATGATGAAAGTTGTATAGAACTCTTTACAAAAGTCATAAACTTTAAAACTGAAAGAAATTTGAATTAAATAATTTTCAAAACAAATAATTTATTTAAAGTGCAAGAAGATTAGAAGAATTAGATTCATATTTTTATCAAAAATTAGAATTTTAGTATAATTAATCTACCAGATTTTACTTTTGACATTAAATATATCGAAAAGTCATAAGATTATTATGTTGCTTTATAATTAGAAAAACTTTAATGGAAATTAATCATTTACTCAATTGATGTTAATGGGTTTTATGAAATATTCTTTAGATTAATCGATGACGAAATTTACAATTTATTACCTCAAAAACCAATGATTTAAGAAATTAAATTAGTCTAAAGTTAAAAAAATGTGAATATAATCACACTCTTTTTATTATTATCTGAAATTTAAAATTCTTATATGATAAAAGTTTAAATGGATCTATTAAATAACTTTACTTTATCTTATCATTTGGCAAAATAGATACGAAATCCTATTTCAGATTTCCCAATTGAGCTTGGTTATGTAGATGAGAATTATTTAGTTTTGAACTAACTTAATAATAATGCCACATTTTTATATGATTTACAAGAAGATAGACTATTTTATGACTTTATCTATCGCTTAAATTGTCATATTTAAATTCTCAAGGTGAATACTACTCATTTCATTTTTATCAATCAATCACAAGTTCAATTAGGACTGATATCTTAATACGAAGTTGAATTGTAATAGATTAATAATGTAAACTAAGAAATTGTCTTATTTGCTCAAAACGATGTATCAGATGTTAAAATACTAATACATATAACAACTGATGTTTTTAATTAGATCATAATAATGATTTAATTAATAAATTTGATTGCAATTGTATTATATTTAAGAAAAAAGTAATTTAGGAATAGCAAAAGATAGATCTAAGAAAAGTACTTGGAACAATGAATTTGATATTATGTTGTCTTAGCAAAAGGATTTAACAATTTTTTCTATTTTATAAATACTACAATTTTAAATTGTTCATGCATTTAAAGTACATATGTTTATTATTTTTAAATCAACTACACATATTAAAATAGATTTAATAAGTTGAATAAATTTTTGTTTCAAATCCTTAATGAGTTTCTAAATAATATCACATTTAATCATAGATTACTTTGGAAGATGAAAATAAATTAATTACATAGTTTCAAAATATTAGTTTGATTGGTATTCTGAAATCATTTTTAATAATTCAGTTTTTTTAGAGATAGATATGTTTTTATTATAAAATTTAGAATTTATTTCTCTAAAACTTTGGTTATTTTTGTTCTTTCTTAAATTATCTAAAGAAATTGAAGTTAAATGAAAATATAATCAGCTGTAAATGAAACGAACTTTTATTCACTAAAGTGCATCTGAGTTTAATTTAACATTGTCAAACAATTATAAATCTTATGAGGATAATAATAATTTTATTCACTTCTTCTATCTTTTAATATAATCAATAATAAATATCTTAAAGTTAATAAATTCCCCTATCTTTATAAATATTGTTATGTTTCCAATTAAACTAATATAAAGTATTTGGATAATTAATTGATCCAATACCACCATAACTGCCACATCATTTGTGATGAAAGTTTAGGAAATGAGTTAGACTGAGAATTGCTAGAATATCTTAGTATTTAGTAATTTACTTGATTTATTCCTGATTTTTCATTGAGTTCTTCTATAATCACTCTAAATTTAATAAAACTCAAATAAATTCAACCCTATTTTATCTTATTATGTATATATGTAATGATAACAATAAACTAAATAATTTACTCTCATAGCAATCTGTAAAGCAAACTATCTAACAATAAAAAGAAGCCATTTTTACAACAAATATATTTTAATTTCCATAATTCCATATACTCTATTTTTTCAAAAGTAAAATATAAACTAACTAACTAAATAGAAAATACCAATCAAGAATTCAAATAGATTTAAAGGATTCAGAACTGAATTGGTTCAAATACTCAATATGCCAGCTTTGATAGAAAAGATAATAATTATATCTTATTTGAATTAATGGTGTGAAGTCAAATAAAATTTAAATGAAGTGCTCTATTCATAATCCATTAATCATGAGAAAAATAGACAGGTAGTAAAGTTAACGTACATTATATCAAAATTTTCTTTATTAATTGATTCAACATGTTAATATCTTCAGTTTGGTAATAAAATTCTTCCTGAATTAGAAAAAGAATTTTAGCTTTGATAAATTATTTAGCTTAAATATGAAGAACTTTAAAAAAAGTCTTAATTTAGCTGCATGATCTAAAATTATTTTAACCATCTGAAAGGTTAAATCATCTTACTTGTTCATTCAATTTATTAGGAATTATTGAAGAATTTCAGAAGGTAGAAGAGAAAGTTTTAAAGATTTATGAGGAACTGGTAGAAGATTTTTTGACAGATATCTGGCCCAAAAATCAAACTACACTATTGCCTGATTCATCTATCATATCTACATACATGAATTTCAGATTCAAATTTTAAAAGGTAAATTAGACATTTTATAGATTGTAACACTTTCCTTAGATTACTTGCTAGATTTTAAGTTAGATTTTTCTTATTTCTTCAGTATAATAACTTTCTAATCCTTAATTAATTTGAGTTAGAGATAATTTTAAAGAGGAGAGAATTTTTTGTGTTTATTCTTGTTCCTTCAATTTCTACATTTGGTGAATCTTTGATTCTAAGCTGCTGCTTATTTTAGAATAGATATTCTTCTAAATAAAATTTATATCTTAGATACGAAATTATTAAAGGAATATTGTGGCTTAATTATAAGGCGCCTTATTTATGCACTTAGGTTACTTCTTGTATGAAATATTGCAAACTTTGTAGATCTTCTGTAATTTAATTTCATTTGGCTATTGTAATTTCTTAAAGCGTTAATTTAATAACCAGGACTATTTGACTATTTCTATATTCTTGCTGGAAGGAGTATTTTACAAGTTTTCCTTCTTAAAACATTTTGCAGGTTCATAAGACATTCATAATTTTGGAAATAAAATGTTTAGCTCAAAGAGTAAAGAGTTTCAAAGACTTAATATATATATATTCAACCTTTTGACTTTCTATTATAGGGTTTAATTTCTTTTAAAGGGTAATTTTATTGTGACTAAGGTTACTTTAAAGTATAAACGAATTGATATTTTCGGTTTTAACAAGCCCAACATTTTTATAATAAAATCAACCAAAGCAACTGAAGTTTAGAAACTCAACTATTCTCTTCATTCTGCACTCGTCTATCAAATGAAAGAATGTAATTCAAATCAACTGCAGCACTTCATTTTAAAATCTAATATTAAATAACAATTAATTATGAATATTAAAATAGTTACTTGCTATTAGCCGAACTTTTGATTCTATTTTGTTGATTTTTATCATATATATCTAATTTTATTTCTAATTTTTCATATTGCTTTTCAGTCCTTTGGCAATTATTACATATTATTTTTCACTATTCTAATTCTATTTTAAGGTAAATACAACATCAATTCATTTTCAAATACTAATAAGCTTTTAAATATATCAATACTTTTTAAGGAGCTCAATTAGTTAAACCTTTCCTAAGTCTTTTATAATTGGTGTCAATTCATGATTAATCACTCAAAATTGATAATTAATCATCTTTCAACAATATATTTTATTGAGACTATGACTTAAGTGAAATTACTCTGTCATTGATCTTAACTTCAAATTGAGTTAAAGTAAGTAGTATTTGTGTATTAAATACAAATTATATGTAGATTGAGAGATGTTGAGATAAAAAAGAAATATTTTTTAGAAATATGAATTTGTCTCCATTAATAATATTTGTCATGAAATGATCCCTTTAATGCAAATTAAATAAGGCTTCTATACCAGCTTAATGATGCATCTTCTATTTGACTTTTTCCCAAATAAGTATCATATTTTCTCCAATCGAAATTGTGTTCAATTAAATGTTAGCAATAAAGGTTATTTTATGTTAATCCTTTCTTTTATCCTTCAGATCCCATTTTTCATTAATAATATTTTTCAGCGTTTCTAATGGGTCTATCCATTCTCTACTCTGAGTTTTAGGTGTGCAAAACTTAGGCCAATTTACTTTTCAGAGATTATTCTTTGAAGCAATTTTAAAAGAATCTCATAATTAATTTATATACCTTTGAGGCATAATCATATGCATCATATATCAACTTCAGTATTTACAAACATTTTAAAAAATTTTATTTTTTTATTGATTCTCATTTTATATTAATTGTATCACTCAAGTATTTATAAAGCATTGTTTATTTCATCCTAATTATGCCAAAACTTGGCATGTGTATTTTCAATTTAAAATTACAGTTCTTTCTCATCTTAATGCATTTCTTTCTTAGATTTCCAAAAGATGAGAATACAACTGAGCAATTTGCTTTCAATTAATCATCTATCTAGAGCACTATTAGATTTTTAAGTTTATATCCAATTTAGTTAAAAGTTCATTAAGCAAATATAAATAGGAAATTAGTTATGCAAATTCTACAACTTTATAGAAATACGAACGCCTCATTAAAAAGTCCTTTTAGATAATTAAAACTTTTACTGTATCGTAGGCTCATCCTTTAGATAAATCAATAAAATTAGTGATCTTTCTTACTAAAATTTCCTACTTAATTGGTTGGATTCTAAAATTATGAATGAATCAATGTTATCATTCTCAATAAGAATAAGGACATAAATTTCCAAATTCCTCTGCTTAGATTTCAATCTTATCAACCTTAGACACTTAAAGACTGTTAGTAGAAATCCATATTATAAAACTATGATAGGAGAAATGGTATAAGATAATATTTAGGAGATTCTTAAATTTAGTAGACTTTTAGTAATATTTATAAGTGGAATAAGAAAGATGTTATGTGAAATTTGTAAAAAAGCGATTGTTTTTTGATAAAAGAGCATCTGTATTCATATACAAAGACCCATATAAGGAAGAATTGCACTTTTTCATGAAAGAAGTTCCAACATTTTTCTGCAATTATTTTTAAATTTTTTGTGCTTGAATGACAATTAAGTCTTCAGTATGAAACTTAGATTTACATCACATTATTCTTTATTTATTTGAAGATTATGCACTGTTACTCAATTTTTTTGATTCTCAAAAATTCTTAATTGAGAGCAACAATTTAGAAAAAATATTTTTGATGATGCCACAATTTTCAAAATTTCAAAACTAAAGAGTAGGAATGCTTCCAATATATGAGCCCAATAATTTATATTTTACTTGATCCAAGTAAAATGTTCATCTTCAAGTGAAAATAAATAATCAATTTATCTATTGTCAAGATGCTAAATTATTAATTTATTTATTTCAACTTACTCTCACCTATGTAAAAAAAAGAATATTATTTCAATGAAGTTTTTTAATTATCTACTATAAATTAAGATTTTAAAATTAATTTTTCATTGGAATATAATTCTAATTTTTGAATTCAAATTTATCTTAATTTTTCTTTTACTTTAGTAGCTATTTTTGATAACCTTAAGCAGAATGAATGGGCTTCCTCAGGATGAAGAGTGCAATTAAACCAGTTTCTTTATTAAAATTTACCTTAAATACATAAAGCAATTTAGCCAGTGTATTAAGAGCTGTTTAAAAAATTCAGACATCAAGGAGTTTGAAGAAATAAAATCTATAGAAAGAGATTATCAAAATAATAGAGGATTCATGTCACTTGACTATTTATTGTTTAATAAGTAAAAATCAAGAAGAACTACTAACTAAACAAAAGGAAATGAAGCTTGAATTATAACCAAATTCGAAAAATTATGTGAAGAAATTAGAAGTGAATCAGAACAAGGTGTAATTTTATAAGAGTATTCTGTCGAATAATATTAGTATATTACTTCTTGGTTCCGTGAATACCTTTTAAGAACAGACAATGAGCTAAAATACATTTCTTTGTTTCTTAAATATCTTAACAACAATTCTTCTTTTAGATGAGAAAAGATTTAAATTTATGCTATTTCTGGTACGAATTATAAAATTAATTTAATATCTACGAATTTTTAATCAAAATGTAAAATTTGGAGGTTTGAATGAAAAATCTAAACTAGATATGATGTGATGGGTATTAAAAAGTATTACTAATTAAAGATGACAATTTATTATGTTAAGTAAATAGCCTTGGATGATTACGATTACATAAAAAAGGAAAACAAAAGGATTAATTGAAGATTTTATATGAATATTGGAGTAAAATCAAAGCACCTAAAAAGGAAAAACAAAAATCCCTCAAAATGTGGTTCGTTATTTATTATGAAAAAGTGAAAATTGTATTGAATGAATTTAAAATAACTTAAAAAAAACAACAATAAAATTTATTGGGTTAAAAAAAAGACACCTATATGAATACAGAGTTTAATGAAGGCTTAAAATTCAATAACATAATGGTTAGTATTTTTACAAAAAAAACATTTTGAATAAGCAATAATTTATATGGCCAAATTGACTAAATTTACTCAAATGTTAAAGCTCAACAAAAAAACTTAAGATTCAATCTCAAAATATTTTTAACTTTTTATTCTCCATAAATCATTTGATGAGTAATCTTGAGAAATTTTCCAAATCTAATTCTCGATTTTTTTCCTTTACTAAGAGTAAATGAATGATTGATGGAAGAGAGATGATTATAATGACTTGAATTAATGAGAAATAAGGCAGACTCATCAGAAAAAGATTAATTTTTAAAGTTTAAGGACTGATGACCCAAACTGAGACAAGCATCTCAGGAGACGATGTCAATCTAATAAGTTGTAGCTTGAATGTACCTAGCCAGACCTTGTTAAAGATAAGGAGGACTGTGTTAGGAATGAGATTAAATATTAGGATCATTTAAGCGGGATTCAAAGATATTGAGGATGGACCTTAGGATGTTAGTGGTTTTGTAAGGAGAAAATCACTGAAATTAGGTAAATGATGGGAAAAAGAAATTGGATATTGAAAGCAAGGAATTCTTTTGTAAATTGAAGTACAGATTGAGAGCCTAGAACTTATGATTGAGGATGGCCATCAAGAATGTCAAGAAAATGATGCAGTTCAGGGTCGAAAGGAGGTAGTTCCCGACAGGACTTTAAGAAATCAACATCTCCCTAGTCGAGTAACAATGAAGACTCTCTCACCCCTGAGTGTTTAGTTCGAACATTTATGGAAAGGGTAATATGAAGGACCCAATTATAAAACATTATTCATTGGAGGATCACGTCCAAAACAAGACGAGACAGAAAAAGACTTAATGTTTAGGAGACTACTATCTTGTTTGATGGGTAAGTAGGACAGATCATACGGAATGAAGGAACTTCTGAAGATTAAAATGAAGGAGATTGGAGTTGAAACAGAAGTCATAGAAAGTGGCTAAATGCTCTCTCATGGGTACCACACTGATATTTACGCCGAAGATTTGGATAATTAAGGTACTCATTCAGAATTCAAAAGGAAGGATTTGTTAAGACCATACCTGAGTTCATCAATGCCAAGCTGGTAATACATAGATGGGACCAGTTCCCTAATAGGAACTCTAAGATCATAGGAACATTAGGCGAGAAGAAAACCTTTCATCTCATACAGGATGATATGGAAATGTTACATCATGTCCTATTACATGGAAGTTAAATTCAATTATTGGAGACCTATTACTTAGATAGAAACTAATAAAGAATTCAATTGATCAACAAGGATTGGCCATAGTTTATAAGCATGGCTCGTGGTAGAAATAAACTAATGATCACATCTACTAAGAAGAGTCGTGATAATTCAGTGGAGAGCTAAAGGGTTAAGCAAATATTTCAGGTTTTAGAGGAAAGTAANTTTTTACAAAAAAAACATTTTGAATAAGCAATAATTTATATGGCCAAATTGACTAAATTTACTCAAATGTTAAAGCTCAACAAAAAAACTTAAGATTCAATCTCAAAATATTTTTAACTTTTTATTCTCCATAAATCATTTGATGAGTAATCTTGAGAAATTTTCCAAATCTAATTCTCGATTTTTTTCCTTTACTAAGAGTAAATGAATGATTGATGGAAGAGAGATGATTATAATGACTTGAATTAATGAGAAATAAGGCAGACTCATCAGAAAAAGATTAATTTTTAAAGTTTAAGGACTGATGACCCAAACTGAGACAAGCATCTCAGGAGACGATGTCAATCTAATAAGTTGTAGCTTGAATGTACCTAGCCAGACCTTGTTAAAGATAAGGAGGACTGTGTTAGGAATGAGATTAAATATTAGGATCATTTAAGCGGGATTCAAAGATATTGAGGATGGACCTTAGGATGTTAGTGGTTTTGTAAGGAGAAAATCACTGAAATTAGGTAAATGATGGGAAAAAGAAATTGGATATTGAAAGCAAGGAATTCTTTTGTAAATTGAAGTACAGATTGAGAGCCTAGAACTTATGATTGAGGATGGCCATCAAGAATGTCAAGAAAATGATGCAGTTCAGGGTCGAAAGGAGGTAGTTCCCGACAGGACTTTAAGAAATCAACATCTCCCTAGTCGAGTAACAATGAAGACTCTCTCACCCCTGAGTGTTTAGTTCGAACATTTATGGAAAGGGTAATATGAAGGACCCAATTATAAAACATTATTCATTGGAGGATCACGTCCAAAACAAGACGAGACAGAAAAAGACTTAATGTTTAGGAGACTACTATCTTGTTTGATGGGTAAGTAGGACAGATCATACGGAATGAAGGAACTTCTGAAGATTAAAATGAAGGAGATTGGAGTTGAAACAGAAGTCATAGAAAGTGGCTAAATGCTCTCTCATGGGTACCACACTGATATTTACGCCGAAGATTTGGATAATTAAGGTACTCATTCAGAATTCAAAAGGAAGGATTTGTTAAGACCATACCTGAGTTCATCAATGCCAAGCTGGTAATACATAGATGGGACCAGTTCCCTAATAGGAACTCTAAGATCATAGGAACATTAGGCGAGAAGAAAACCTTTCATCTCATACAGGATGATATGGAAATGTTACATCATGTCCTATTACATGGAAGTTAAATTCAATTATTGGAGACCTATTACTTAGATAGAAACTAATAAAGAATTCAATTGATCAACAAGGATTGGCCATAGTTTATAAGCATGGCTCGTGGTAGAAATAAACTAATGATCACATCTACTAAGAAGAGTCGTGATAATTCAGTGGAGAGCTAAAGGGTTAAGCAAATATTTCAGGTTTTAGAGGAAAGTAAATTCAAAGAACAGTTGTAGATTTTAGCCAAATATATTGGAGGAGGAATGTCAGACTAGGATTCAGTAAGAAGCCAATTTATGGTGAAGAGATTAAGGATAGATCAGCAAGTATTCTCCTCAATATGGAGGGCAAAGCGGAACTCAAAAAGATTAAATGAAGAGAATATAGCTCGTCTTGTCTTAATTAATACTAGCAAGAAGGACGCATTTTTCCTAATAGGTTAGATATTTCCAGAAGGGCTATCGAAATTTGTTGAATAGTATGGACTTAATAATTATTTGAAACTATTCCTAAAGCTAACACATGATTACCTCAAGCTGTCTTTAGTGAGAGATGACTTTAATTATATGATTTAAAAAATTACTTATATGACTTAAATCAAAAGACAAATGATCAAAAAGATGAAATTTATTGAACTTGAAAACTGTGATACGAGCTCAGTCTAAGAATTAGTTTAAGATCAAGTAGGAATATTGGACAAATGCCTATGACACCTCGGACATAGTAATATATAGGTCTGGCTAAACAATCTAGTGAAGCTGGTCTTAATAAGATCGTTGATGGAGGAACAATGATCTGCGTTAATTTTCAAAGTACTTCGAGACATCGTGGTAGATTTGACACAAATAATATGGTACATCAACTAGATCCTGAAATATGAAGGTATGGCAAGAATATCCTTTGACAAAGTGATGATCTGCCCTTTATTTTATAAATTCTTCCAGTACAACAAGTATGGACCTTGACGTACCAAGAGGCCGTTCATAATGAAATATAATTGCACATCAATCATTATTATTATTAAGTTACAGATTTATATTCTTGGATCAGTTATGATGACTACAACATGAAATATCTGAAGTATTTAAAGGATATACAACAATCTCAGATAGAGAAAAGCATAGGAAAGGAATGAAATTTTGGGAAGATATTGATTATATCTATTCGCAAGCTATCAAGATTGTTGATGAAAATAGAGGGTTGATTTCAGGTCATACATATGAATTTCCAATTTTTGATCGACCCATAATTAGAAATCATTATGTCTAGATAAATGAACAAAAATTGTTAGTAGTGAATGAATTACTCCATACGTCCCCTAATAGTAAAATAGTAAGAAGATTTCTGGGGAAAGATTTAAGAAGATTAACATAGACTTGTAAATTGATTTAAATAATTTGATGAATCAAAATTGGAGGAGGAAAAAAATTTAAGGGAGATAGGAGAATTTTTAATATATGGAAGCGAATGCTTTTAAAGATGAAAGTTATTGGTTTGCTGGAAAATTATGTAACAAATAGGAAGACACTGTGATGAGAGAACATCGAAAAAAATGAAGAAGATCAACATTGTGAATCTTTATTAAGTAGATTGAGGAATTGAGAATGTATGACTGATATACTAAGATGGATGAGAGAATTATAAGTAAAGTGAATTCTATTATAAGTTTCTAATTTGTGAGTAAGGTGTGAGCCATGGGAAAAAGATGATTTGTGATAATATTAAAAACCATCTATTTTTGAAAAGAAGGAAATGTGAATTTTCATTAGAATTGAGGGAGATTAGCTATAAAAATATTGAATAGAATTAGGAAGAACTAGGTAGGATATAAATTACGTTAAAATGAAAAAAATACAATAAGGAGGACTCTAAGTAATAACTAATAAGTCCTTCTATCAAATATGAATGAGTCCATAATATAAAATTAAATGATATTATAAGATGCACTAAAAGCGGAACTCTTCAAAACATTACCTTGCTTAATAAAAATATATTTTGAAATCTGGTTCAGAAAGGAGTCAACCGAATATATAATGTTAAAGAAGACAATGAACACCTGTAAGATCCTCTAACAAAGTTTTAATATCTGAGAATTATTTAAGGGATGAGGTATTTTGAATCAACCTTGATGGACTGAGATCATTAGGTCTAAGATGTAGTTTAAATTGAAAATTCAAAATATGACCTGCAAAACTTATGTTGGTTTAACTCTGATCCTTTATGTTCAATGGATTTAAATATTCTACAGATCTTTCAAACCCGTCTTCCACCTCAACTGAATGAAATTTTCATTCTGCTTTTATAGTAGAATTCATCTAAAGAAACTATCTTAATTTTGTCGAATCTTTAACTTTTGATGATACAATATTGCTTACTTTTGCGGATGGTAATTAGATGAATTAGTTTATTTTAAGATCAAGAAAAAATGAATAATGGCGTAAATTATTCCGAAACTTATCAAATTTATATAATTCCATTGAAGTTCTATATAAGGTGTTGAAGTACAAAGGAAATAGACACAGAGTCTATATTTTGTCTCCGAACAAAATGATAATAACTTACACATATATGATCCAACAAGGATCATCCTTAAAAGCCCTTTCATTTTCAATAAAATTGTTCAATAACTTTCTATATGTGGAAAAGAAAGGAAATTAAAGAGGAGTCAAGTAAGTGAACACATAAATAAAAACTGAGAGGATGAAGTATGAATCATAGTATATACAGATGACGTAGTAATAATAGCCAATTAAGAAGTGATCGAAGCATGCAAAAAAATCTTCATTAAAAGGCATTATTATAAAGATCAAAAGCTAATCTCAACAAACCAAAATATCGAGCAATAAAAGTAAACTCAGCAAATAAATAACTTGGAATAAACCAAGTTAAGCAAGACCAAATAATTTACATTGAAATTTAATATGTTCATCACAAAAACTCTAATTGAATTTTTTTTAATTATAAGATTTAGTATGTGTAGAACAATTTAATATTAAAAAATAAAATAACTTAATTTTGAAGTTGTAAGTGATGCTGAGAAACATTGATTTGATCCAAGCCTATTACTCTAGGGGTAAGAAAATGGTTGCCGAGAGGGCAGAAGAGATTTTGAAGAAACGCACTGAAGAAATGATGACAAATGGGATAGTTTCATTACTTTTATGCGGATGGGGGTAAACATTTAGATCAGGTGACTTCTTAGAGATCCTTAGAAGCTCGGAATCTATAGATTTTAAAATTATGAAAAAAAAACAGTTTGCACTATAAAATACAAAGAGTTTTATTGATGTAAATAATGTTGATTTATGCACTGAAGGATTAAAATATTACATTCTATATATTACAGTGAAATTATCATCTCAATTCCATAATTTTAAGACACTGAATTAAAGATGACTATTTAATCTACAATAGGGGATACTGAATAAGTTTGAAATATTATCATGTTAAATAAGAGGAAATAATTGAAATTTTTGCCTAATTTTATGTTGTTGTAAAGAAAATCTTTGGGCTTCGGAAATAAAGGTTTTTAAATTTAAATGGAGAATTTAAGGAGTTATTTTGGTTTCCCTCATCACTCTAATTATTATTTTGAGTTTAAATAAGGCCGTTGTCTAAACCTAAATACTTAGAAATAAATTTTTATATTTCTTGATCACAAAATATGTAATTTTATAAATTTTTAAAACATTTAGGTTATCAAGAAAAAAAGAATGATAATTTAACAAACTATAATAACAATGTTCGTTATCTTCCTTAGAACTATTGAAATACTTAGTATATTTCTATGAAGATCTTACAGTTCAAAACCTATGAAGAAATTAAATGCATATCAATGAAATTATCAATAAATATATATAATTTTGATATAGTTATGAAAGTGAAGACTTTTAGAAAATAAACTATTAAATATATATTTTTAATTCAATTCTTAATTACATCAGAGAAACTATCAAAAGTAACTTTATAGAAGCAATCATTCATATCTAATATTTTGTTGATTATTTTAGATAATTAAAGGAGTATATGTAATCTTTTTAAAAGATTCTAAACTTGTTGATTATATCTTAATTATATTTTTTCTTTAAGCTCTTTCTTGAGTAGTTTATCAGCTATTAAGATAGAAATTAGTTTCTAATTATTAGTCCGAAATTTACACTTTTATTAGGGTATTTAGTTTAATCTCAAAAAGGAAATTATAAATAAATTTCTATTCTTTACTTGATATTAATCAGTTTATTATCTTTAATAATTAATATGCAATACTAGCTCTAACATTGATTCATATTGCAAGATTTAATTTTGTGGTAATGTTGTGAGTAAATAATTGTTATGCATTTCTTAAATAAAATTTTTGTTCTACAATTGTTTTTGTGATCAACCAAATCTAACAGAGTTCTAATTGACTGGTTCTCATATTAGTTGTATCTCCTTCAACCCCTGACATTTCTATGACACCTTAATAATTAGAATATCTGTTCTTCAAGTAAGAAGGTTCAAAAGTGAATGCACTACTATCTCAAAAGGATAAGAATAAATAAGAAAGCTGTATCTTTTCATTTAATTATATCTTATTGACGACCTGTAAAAAATGGGGATTACATTTTGATTACGACTAAATTTGTCAACCACTCTATGAGACTCGTGCATTTGAATAAAATGCATCCCAAATTACCTGTTTAGGAATAATTTCGCCTGATCATGGTTTATTAAACTCCCTTAGCCATATTGATTAAGCAGGAGATAGCTTAAAGGAAATTGCATATTGTCTTCCTGAATATTTTATGCATACAACATGATTAACGAGGCTTAATCTTTAAGCACTTGAATATCAGGGTCATTTCACAAGAAATTAATTTTAAGCATTGAAATGGATCTATGTTTAAATGCATATCTATGATGGAAAGAAGCGATGTAAGGGTTTTCTTCAGATATGAAGTTCATCAAGGTTCCTAGCTCCCACCTTCTTTTTGATGTATGTTTTAACCAGTTTCTGGAAAAGATTCATATTTTAAGAAACTTTTAATGATTAGAACTATAAATGCTGATGCTGACTATGTTTTATTATCAACTTACGGGAATGTCAAGCAAAAGATAACTAAAATTTTCATTAACATAGTGAAGGACTTTAACTTCAAAGTGGAATTTTGAAAAGATTTGGACATGCTGAATATAGAATGAGTTATGCATTTGTTTTAAGAGGTTTAAGCCAAAATTGTAAACGGACTGAAAATAGTTGAATATAATTCTGGATAGTGGCTCATCAAGCGAAATTCTTTAGAAGGCATATAACTCAAATATGCAAATCATTCCTGAAACCCCTATTATGACTAAATTTTCCCTCGAATGAATAGGCTTTGACAAATGAGATTAATCTAAGGAGAAAATTTTAGAGATTCTCAATCAAAAGAATTCTCAATTGACCTCTAACATCCCCTAACCAACTTATTGATAGCATTTTGAACCATCTTGGCTTTAATTTTTGCCTAGCCAAGAAGCATATGGCAAGGTAAAGATGTGTAAAAGCTTTTGTAAAAAATTAACAGATCAACTCTACAATATGAAATGACGAAGAGGAAAACAAAGAAGTTAAATTCTCTGGTTGAGTTGGAATAAATTGAATTAAGAGCACGGCTGATTAGCATAAACCCTCAGCTAATGTTAATTATCCATCTGAATTTGGTTTTTGAATAGATTTAAGTATGCCTGGAGTATTAATAGAGTATGTATGAGGAAAGAAAATTAGAAAGCTAAATGGACCTTTACTCACCAATAGATTCATTGTTTAGAACTGCGGAATTTCTATGCTAAGCTTGAAGAGTGGATTAATTTTAATTGGAGAAGATAACAATTATCTACTAAAGTCCTAACTATCAAGAAGAATCATATAGAGTTCATTAAATCATAAACTTCACAAAAGTTTCAATGGATCAAACTTTAAATTTGAATCAATAGAATTAATAATACCACTTTAACAAGTACTGAAGCCGGTTTTTAATTTCCACATTATACCATTCAATAATGTTATATTGCTATTTGTTTGTAAAAATAGTTTATAGCTGAAATGTCTTTATGCTTACTTTAAATGATTAAAAAATAGATTGCATCAAATTGCTTTGAAATGTGGAGTTAATTACTTTATCCTCTTGATCAAGCTTGATTGATTGTAATTAAAGCGTTTGATTCATTAGCAGTAAATTTCCAAAATATAAAATCATATATTTAATCTTAATGTCTAAGTTAACAAATTAGTTTGTATCTAAAAAACCAACCTATTATAAAGACTTAATAAACTTGGAAACTAAAGAAAAGTAATCAATTCATTACTCTGATTAACTTTTAGTGAAATAGTTTTGCTTAAGCCAGAAAATTTAATTCTGATTTAGAGTTCTTAAGAACTCTAGCATTATTTCTTAAATTTACGAACAAAGAATAATTTTAATTATAATTTCAAAGATTTCTTCAATAATCTAGCCATTTAAATATTCTTCAATATTAAAAGTGCACTTTAATTTTGGATTATTAATTTTTATTTATAACTTAATTATAGCAAATAACTAAATACAACCTTCTATGTTTGTTGATTGTTGTTGATGAGTCATAATCTTTCAAAGTAAATCGTTTTGGTAGCTTTTATGATTCTAAATTAAAGACATTAACATATTTTAATATAAATTGCTTTGAGAAATCATAATTCTTATACTTTTTGATTATTTACAAATAATTTATATGTAGGATAACAGTTTAATGCATTTATTAAATAGAATTCTTTTTGATTTGGAATTTTTCATAATGAACAAGAAATGTTTATTTATTGTTATAATTATTTTATATCTTTCCTAAAAGGCTTTAGAAAAACAAAATATCAAAAATTGAAGAGATATATTATTAGAAAAATTATAATTTAAGTATATGTATTCAAGAGCGAATATAAAGGTGTACGAAGACAATTTGAGCATAAAACAAGAATGCTATTTGATAGGAGAACCGATATTTCTTCATAGAGTCATGATTTTAGGATGCACTCCTTATATGAGTTCATTATCTATGCAAAAAATAAATGAAATTGAAATATTTAGTTTAAAACAAATGTGAGAAAGGTTTAGGAGAACAAGTATGAGAGAAGAATAAGGGTGCAATTCGGCATAATTTTTTAAAAAGTTAAAATAAAGCTTTTGCCAAGAAAACTGTCAATAATCTACCATTAGTAAGAGGTGCATATACTCAGTTTTGAATGAAGTTAGTGAAATTAGCAAACGTAACATATATATCAAATAATATTGTATTAATTCAATTTATAAATACTCATTTTTTACTTTTTAATTCAGCAATTAGACATTTAAATTTCTCCTAATCTTATTGGCAATATAAGATTGCTTGTTCATAAGTATTTAGAGATAAAGAGTAATTCTTGATTTTTTATAATACTTCCCCTAATACAATCAGGGTATTTCAAACCTTTATTAAAATAAGCATTTGCATAAGTTGGATCTAATTGGATTGCTTTATCATAGTAAGCAATTGCATCGTTATATTTGTTAAGATTATTTAAGGAATTACCTATTACAATCAAGAAATTTACAAACCTTTATTAAAATAAGCATTTGCATTAGTTGGATCTAATTGGATTGCTTTATCATAGTAAGCAATTGCATCTTTATATTTGTTAAGATTACGTAAGGAATTACCTAATACAATTAAGAATTTTACAAACCTTTATTATTAATGGCCATCGCAAAATTTGGATCTAATTGGATTGCTTTATCATAACAAAGAATTTCATCTTGATATTTACCTTCCAATCCTAAGGAGTAACCTAAAATTTTTAACAAATAATAATACCCTTCGTAAAATAACCAATACTATACTATGGATTAATTTTTAGAGCTTCTTCAATACACACAATTGCTTTTGAATATTGTTTCAAATCATCTAAAGACAAGCCTATTTTGTAATATAAAAGGATTACTTCTTCTATACAAAGCATGTAGATGTTAAGGATCATCTCTCAAAACAGTTTCGCATAACTCAATAGCCTATTGAAATTACTTATCTTCCCTTAATGCATAGCCTATGTAAATTAATGTTTCAATTACTTTTTGTAATTAAAATTAAAGTATTTTATGGGTTTTTCCTTAATTCTTGATCCGAATAATCTAATAGATCTCTATACAAGCTATTATTAATCTTTTTCGCCTATTCCCTCATAATTATTCCTTACCCAGGTTAGTTCATTTCAATTAAAGTAATACCTATATATATATAATAGAATCAAAATGCATTTAAAGAATGTTCCCAAGGATTGTTGTTTCTCTGACAAGTTTATGTATTAAGTAATTTTTTCATTAGCCTCCTACCATTTCTACTAATTTAGTAATTAAATTCCTAATATTATTTAAAAATACTTGAATACCTTAGTAGAGTCCATTTTCATTATCTTGCTAAATATCTAAAATTTATTATTATCCTTTATCTAAATCCATTGCCTAAATAATTTTTTTTATTCTAACTCTGATATTTAAGTTCAAGATGATAATAATAATTAAGTTCCTATAAATATTACTTAGATAATATACCAATTTAATTCTACTTCATAATCTCCTCTTAATTGTTTAAATATTGGTACCATTCTTTAATCACTTACAAATTGGCTTTCATTTATAAATAATCTTATTAGCTTAAACATTCAGATATCTTAATTAATTATGTTTTCATGTTCTCCAATTATTTTGAGAATTCTTCATATTCTCTTTTAACTTTAGCAAAGGATTTATTCAATTATGTTGCTAAATCAAGTATATTCTAATTGAATTTCGTGATAAAACTTTAAATTTAACCAAATCCTTTTAGATCTTTCTAGCAATTAGAATGCTTCTTAAGATCAAATCTACATTATAGACAGAACTGAGGTCTTGAATCTTAACATCTCAAATTTAAACAAAATCCTTAAATGGTTTCTCCCTCATGCGCAATATCTTCACACGTAAACACTTTCATTAAGTATATTTAATTTTATAATTAAAAATTAAGCCAATTTTTCATTTATACTAATATTTTTATGTATTCTATTCATTTACTTTTTTAAAATGATTTTTTACGATGGTTTACATAATTACATTTCACTTTTAAATTTAAGTGATAATCTAAATTATACTCTAATCTATTATCACTAAAAACAAACATATGAGAATATACACATCAATCAGTTCTGCATAAGGAAATCATTCTATTTGGCTTAGATTAACTAGTTATTATATTTCATACATATCCAACAGTCTAATCAATTTATATGCTCAAAAAGCAATATTTGATCCTCATTTTCTTTTTCTTTTTTGAGTAGGCTAAATAATTTATTTAAACTACTATTCTCCTTATATATGATTAAACATATATCAAAAGTTAAAGCTCAAATCGGACCCAGAGAAAAATTCGTATTTCATCAAATTTAATAAATTTTAAATTATATAGTTCTATTAGAAGTAAAACTTACAATAAATTATTTTCTTATAATCATTAATTATGAAGAAATTGATGAGATAGATTTTGAGACATAAATATAATTCGGAGAATTCCAATTATTTATTTTTATCATTCTTTTGGTTTTATTCAATGTGCCGATTTAATCAATGTTCGCAACAAACTTTAATAAATTTTAGTTTCTTAAATGGAATTTATAAAAATATAAAAATTGTAAGAAACTTTCTAAAGGAACTACAGTATAAAGTATTCAGAAGCACCAAAATCAGTCAGAATAATTACTGTTTTTAATCTAAGCACAAATTCAATAATTCATGAGATGAAATTATTGCCTATAGTTCTCTGCTCATTGCGATCTTTAAAAACCTTGAAATTATGTATTATCGAT